TATTCCGTTACTCCCCAACACTGTATATATGTATGTATGTATGTATATAGCACTGACACAGTGCAAAGAGTGCTTAAAACTAGCTGAAGGGACAAGACATAGAGCCCAAGATGCTGGTCCGGTTGGACACCTAAAGGATGCTCTACAACTTGCAACTCACATTGCCAAAAAGATCATCTGCTAACATCCCAGTATCCAACAGCACAGGACACCCCAGAGGTTTTGCATCACCACACGACATAAGGCAGGTGGAAGAAAATCCTCATTTAGCATGTGTATTTAGATTGTTTTTGATTCTCACATTTTGGTGTAACTGTGAGGAACCACGGCACAATAATATGCAAATGTATGCAAATCAAATCATATCATCTACTCCATTAGAAGAAGTTTTGTGCTCGTTTATATCGTTTTCGAGCCCTCCTGCTCGCAGGATTCTGTCAACATAACAAATGAGTCACAGTAACAGACACCAGTGTGATGATATAACGTTTTATAAACACTGGAGATTGTTTGTGTCTAAAATAAATGTCCCAGACGCCGCACGATTTGCCAGCTTTCTGATGTACTGGGTTTATCATGGTTGTTGGTGTTTAAAGAAAATTGGCCATTTTCAGTTAATACTGAGCTCCAAGTAAAGGACCCGATTTAAAAACTCTCTTGCTCTCATGCAGCCACATGTTAACTGCATTAGTACTTTTCATGTCAGAGGCCGCTTCCATTTCTATGCAAACGGCTGCCTGGCTGGATTTAATTAATAACAGTGATTATAATGGCAGTAATGACAACCGTGAGGGTGATATGCGACAGTCATGATGAGAAACGCTGGCAGGGATTTGTCCCTTTATGTGACAGCACACAGCGGAGAGGTGACAAGAAGCGGGGGCGAGAGATGAGGCCCGACATGTGACACAGATCTGCCATTCAGATCAGGATTTCCGACCTCTAATTCTCCAGGACGATCGCTCCGCTTCCCACAAAAAAAGTTCATGTGGCATTTTTCTTTTTCTATGTACACCATATTGTGGTAATAACAAACAAATGGACACGTTACAAGTAAAAATAATACAAAAAATAGAGAAAACTACCTACCCAGTATCAATATAGAGTCCTCTTTCTTTACAAATTTTTCCAAAATGTGCTGGAATTTGGAGAAACCCCCCAACCAGTCATAGCACTGCTCCATCGTGTATCTTTCATCCCAGTAGGCGACGTCTTTGTACCTGGAGTTGTTTTCTGGCAGGTAGTCCATATTCTCTGGAGCATGACAAAAATATGTAGCATAACACTGTGTCAGACTATAACGAGACTTCTTTTGTGTGTCGCTAAATCTGTTTTTGCTACAGTGCAGTGATGCATCTCACTGTGCTTTTTCCATTTCATTGTGGTTTCAGCATTGCCATGGGTTTTTTTCTGTCAATTTACAGACCAAATGATTGGCTGCGAAATTAATCAGCTAATAAAATATATAAAATAATACAAAATGTTATGACTGCCCAGGTTACTGTAAAATAAATTGATTTGTTTTTACTGTGACTCATCTTTATGAGAAAAAAAAAGCTACTGGAGGTTTTTTCTTTAATTATTTCATTACTTTTTGAGTTTGACATATTTTTTTTGACACATTATAGGCAAACAAGTAATTTACAAAAGTTTAAATTCCCACAATCATTTGGCAAATACAGGAAATCGCTTTTTGGCACGACACTTGTATTCAAACTGTTGTGACTGATTTGTTGAACTATAATCTGTCAAAAACTCTCATAAATTACATATTTTGAAAAATATTTTAACTCGGAAAAAACGGGACTGATTATAATGCAGAACACAAATCAAAGTCAAAACGATACCTGAAAAACAGTTGTTGTTTTTTTTTTAATTTTATATATTACACCTTCATAAATCCTGTTTACTACAGCCTATTTACTAATGTAAACAAGTTTATTAGACATTAAAAATAACATATACAAACACTTGCAGTCACTTTTTGGCAGGGTCGTGCATAGACCTGGCAGACAGCAACACTGTAGTGAAACAACGCCAAATAAACACAACAAACAGAAGCTACTTCAATGTTGTGACAAACTCTTAAACTTCCCTCGCCACCTATTCAGCGACTGTAGATAGAGCGCATGCGTGGATGCGGCGGACTACCTCTCGCAGCCAGTTGAGTTTGCTCATGTAGTTGACACAAAAGATTGCACAAAATATAACAGTCATTTACCTACCTTCTTACTTTTTCCCCCTCGTTTTGTCGTTAACTTCAGCAGCTTTGTAAAAAAACAAACAAACAAACATTAAAAAGGCCGTTTCCTGGGTGGGAATGAATCCACGTGTTAACAGAAACAACAGTCGTCGGACCGAGTGAGCTCACTTTCACTCTCACGTTTCTATCAAAATAAACCTTGGTACTACAGAAAGTAGAGTGAGCCCCGTCTTAAACCTCCCTCATTTGATAAAAATCGCTTGAACAGAAAAATGTTGTCTCTGAGTTTTTCTATTTCTTACGAGTCAACGCTTTAAAGGAGGCGGAGCGATACAATTCAACAGTGCGGTGTCTAGAGTCGTGTTGCTTTCACGTACTCTTTGTAAAATCTGTCAAATCGCCACGGTGCATTCAAGCGATCTGCGTTTGTTACAATAAATGTAGAAAAACTTTTTATACAGTCATCGGTTTGTTAAAGCTGTTCTTCAAATTAAGAAAAAGAACAATACATAGACCTACTTGGTATTTGTTCTGTAATCTTGGTTTCTATCATTAAACCAACTACTAAAGGAAGAGAAAATGTGTGTGCACAGCATAAAATGAGTTCAAAAGTGATTTGGTTCCTTTCCCGCTTCAAACTTTAATTTGAATGATGATGAATGATGATGATTAAATGATGATTACTTATCAACCCTCATATGTTGAACTATAAAAAATCATTATAGTGTTTCATGATGAGGTGGCTTTTAAAGAAAGAATGATCACATTAACAAAACTGCAATAATTTATAGAGAAGTTTCTCACAGGACACACAAAGCAAGGTCAGGGGTGGAAACCAAATTGATATTTTGTGCTACATTTCTTATTACATTATGTGCTTTCTGTTCTCAGTTAGCTCAGCTGAATACATTTGTACTGAAGAATAATGCCCAGTCACAGCTCTTTTGTTTATCAGCTCTGCCCATGAACACTGTCTGTGTTGGTCAAACAGCTAACCGCACCCACCAAAAAGGAAACAAAGAGAAAAGACTGCATCTGCAAGAAAGTTTTAATCATTAAATTGCACTTGTATCAAAACAGTTTCCCTGGAAATGAATAATTTCAAACAGGAAGAATGCTGAACAATGTGACATTTGTCTTCTTTTTGTTGCTATTTATTCCACCCGGATTACCAAATCATGGTGCACATCAAGGCATATGCCTTTAATGTAATTACCGAGAAAACAGAAATTAGGTTTTAGTTATTTTGGGAAAATTCTGATTAGTCTTTCTTGCTCCTCTCACCTACTACATCATTATGCAGATGTAATGTTGTACTTTCCCCTGCAGATGGTAGTATAATACTGCTATCTTAAACGTTTTTGCTTCTTACTACCTGCTGAAAGAAACCCAATAACCCTGCTCATTCCATTTCAGTCTCTGTTTTGGCGATTTGCTTACAATTACACTGTAAAGTCTGTGGCATCTATACCTGAACAAATTTATGGCCCGCATCCTCATAATCAAAAGCTTCTTTTGCTGTCTCAGACTCACTGGAGTGGTTCTTAAACTGTTGTGGGCGAACCTGAGGTCTCATTTTTATCTGTGAACAGCTGAAAAGGGGAAATTCTTATGCTGTGAGTGCAGCACTTCCCATTCAGTTAATTTCATGCTTATTTGTATTTTATAATTACTAAACTCTAAACAACTGTAGTCCCGTATATACTAGAACAGGGGTAGGCAACCTTTCTGATGAGGAGTGCCATTTAAAATTTCCCCAGAAGTCAGTGTGCCATATGATTGCATTAGCAATAAAT